GTACAGAAAAACTACAGTGGTCCAAAAGCCTGCAAAACCTGGTGGGTTGGTGCACGGCTCCCACAGTACAACAGGGCCTCAGCCAATGAAATTGTTGTGTATATTTGTGCTCATCTTATAATATATTTATACTCACATAAACAAGTTTTTGCAATATAGATTTCACACAAAAAGAAAAAGCCTCTCTCAACGGAATATTGCTCAAGAATAGCCGAAGAACCTTATAGAATTATAGTTGTTCTTAGTTATTTCTAGGGTTTGTATTTCAATGGTTAATCTTGTAAGATCTATTCCTAAGCTATAAAGGAGCCATATTAATTTTCATATTAGAACACAACAAAGATTAGCTAGAGTTACCTATGTTAGGTTCTTGAAGTATAGATCGACTGGAGCTAGTTGGTTTAGTGGGCCATAGAGTTATTGCTTAGTAGTTACTGGTAGTAGAGTTGCTACAGTAAGAGGGAAGGGATTAAAGAGTTTTATTTCCTAGGTTACAAGAATTTGTAATCTGAATCTTTCCTCCTTTTATAGTAAAATGGAGTTGGGTTGAAAATCATATGAGTATAGGTCGTGGTTTTCTCCTCCCTTGAGCAAGGGGGTTTCCACGTAAAACTGTTGTGTCTGTTATATCTTATGTTGGTTGCTTTCTGCATTTATTTTTTGTCAAGGGACCTGGTGCATTGACTTTTTGTGGACACATACATTCTATAAAAAAAAACACAAATAACCTGCACAAGAGTTATCTCCACATACATACAAAACAAGAAATGTACATGGAAAACTGGAGCCTTTGAAACTCCAGACACGTTGCAAGAAGAAGTCCAAGAACTAGAAGCACCACAACTGCAGCTAAGGAGGTTTACACGACTGAAATGTCAAAACACCAAGAATATGGGTGAAGCATTAGCAAAGGTGAATACCACCTTGGAAGAAGATTCAATGAGTAGTGAGTAGAGAAGTTCAAGGGAGGAAGGTGATACCTAATTTAAGTCACTTCCAAGATATTGGATGTGAGTCTTATGTGCTCGTGCTAGATCATCTTTGCAGCAAGTTGGATAAAAATGTCGTTTTTTGCATCTTTATTAGTTAAGATGAACAAATTAAGGGGTGAAGTTGTCGTGGCCCTACCACTAATCAGACGTAAGTGTCGAGAAATGTGGTATTTGATAAAGCATCAACATGGTGGTCCAATGAAGTCTCCCTACTAGAATTGACAGGACTTGAGCAAAAGTTGTAAGATAAGCTGAAAGAAGAAAAATGAGGGAATAAGATAGAAACTAACTAATAGGCAAGAGGAAAACCGAATCACCTACACCATGACTGAAACACCCAAACACCAAGTATATAGATGCAACTTTAGCAGAGGTGGTCCAGATCAAGAAGATTGCTACCATTCTTCAAAGAGTAGTACGTGGAGAAGTTCAAAGGAAGAAGAGGTTCATAATGGATCACTCAAAATGGATGCAAAATATAAAGTAAGTTGGTGTGGAGGGTGAGTGTTAAAAAATATTCATTAACTTAATTAAAATCTAAGATATTTCAAAGAGAATCTAGAATAATCAAAATGTGTAGAGAATTGAAGGAAGAACACAAGATTTAGAGTTCTTGAGTGTAAGTCTAAAAACAATCTAGACATAAGTGGAAGGTATAGTTCTAAAAAATTACCTTCATACTAGATCATTTCATCACCACCTATAAATAGTAGTTGTTAGAGTTGTATGTGTGCGTACTCTAATAAAGAGCGTGTGCTCAAGAAAAAAGTAAGAAAAATGTGTACTCAAGAAAAGAGTGAGTGCAAAAGAAAAATTGAGTGTTAAAAGTTGTAAGACCGAAGTTGGTCCTTACTTAACAATAATAAAATTCAAGTTTTCATGAACAACCAATTGTGCCCAACAATTCCCGAAGGACACTTCTTTTGGATCCAAACCACCACTCTTATCGGTTGGTCACAACTAGCATCCCTCCTTGGTCCAAGCCACCACTCTTGGCTCTCTACCAAGCCATTATTTTGAGTTGCGGCCTCAAGCATTAACCAACCTAGTCTAATACCTATTATTATAGACTGAATAAGACAGTCCAACCCTTGAAGAAAGTATATTAGGTGAGAGATCTCACTCAAGCCTATAAACTCCTTAATTTGTTTTCTTATTAATCAGTGAGGGTCAATAAGCACACAACAAAGATGGTAAAGATTCCTCTGCAGTTAAGAAAAGTTGGTTCGTGCCCTTGAAAGGAGTCACCTTTAATAGGAAACTCTTAACTTCCCCCACCAATAGTGGTTTTTATATCATGGGAACTCAAACAGCGCATAGGTTCTTGACAACACTAATTTGATTGCTCAAAGAAAATTCTAGTATAACAAGTTAAATTGCATAGATAGTACTATAGATAACTCAATATCTTAAAAGTTATTGGATTTTAATTAGTTCAACCATACGGTACCCAAAGTCCACTAATTCGAATTCGCATCTGGTACCTACAAAGGAGAGAAAGATCTACATACCATTAAGTTTTTTTAATAGAATTATCTTTACAAAAGTTTCTAACAATACTTTTTGTAGATTCTCAGAAGTTGTAGCATGATGGTTGGATATTTGAGGAAGAATAGGAACAAAAATATTGTCGCCACAAAGACATATTATGTTGCTTATTTGGTGTTCAAATTGGTAGATATGTACCATGGACTTGAATATACTAATTCAACTATTATGTTAGTTAATTATAAGAGTGAAAATATGACTGAAGAACAAACCAACACTGTGAGACTTGTAAGATTTCCCAAACTGAGAGGAGATGGATGAACGGAAATAGAATTGGGAAATTTTAATAGCAAGGAAAGTAGTGATGGTCCTATTGTAGAAAGATTGATTGAGATTAGACGTCTTGATTACAAATTAAGTGGGCTCATTGTTGAAGGAATTGAGTTTCTTCCTAAAACAATCAAATAAGATGTTAGAGGGGGATCTAGGATTTTAAGTTTTATGGTTTATGTACTACAATTATTTTTGCTTTCTTGGTTTGAGATACATTCTTTATATTTATTAACTGAATTTCTTGATAAAAATACAAAATTCGAGCCATAATTGTTGGTTCTGCAAAGCCGTAACTCTACTATGGATTTGAAGTGTGCTCAAGTGGCTCTGACATTATGGTCATTAAAAAGAAACATGTATCAACTTTTAATACATTTCGGGTGTGTTTGGTATGGAGGAAAACATTTTCCGAAAAATGTTTTTCAATTTTCTTATGTTTGTTTGGGTAAAATGTTTTCCAAATCAACTCATTTTCCTCAAATTAAAGAAAAATGACTTCCCTTCAAAAATTACGGAAAACATTTTCCAAAACTCCCTTCCAAGTTCAAATTACAATTTATTTTTGTTGAAAAAATCAATTTATTTTGTCCTTACCTTCAAACCAACCCCCAACCACCCTCCCCCCACCCCAAAAAAAAAAAAAACTCATTTTTTAAAAATGTTTCTAACTTCAATTTTTTTTACCCCACCCTCACCCCTAACCCCAGCCCCACCCCTACCCTCCCCCCTCCCCCCACGTCAGCCCCCTTCCAGTCCCCCACACCTTTCAAAAAAAAAAATTTAATTCGTTTTTAAAAAATATTTCTGCTTCAAATTTTTATTTTTTCACCCCTACCCTCGACCCCCCACCACTCCCCAAAAAATATTTCAGTTTGTTTTTAAAAAATATTTTCAACTTCAAAATTTCATTTTTTTCACATCTACTCTCGACCCCCCTTCCCCCACCCCCCAAAAAAAAGTTAAGTTTATTTTTTAAAAAATATTTTCAACTTCAAAATTTCATTTTTTTCACCCCTACCCTCAACCCCCCAACCCCCCTACCACCCCCCTCCACCCTACAAAAAAAAATTTAAGTTTATTTTTAAAAAATATTTTCAACTTCAAAATTTCAAATTTTCACCCCCACCCTCGACCCCCCCCCCCCCCCCGCCAGCCCCCCTAACCCCCCACCACAAAAAAAAATTAAGTTTGTTTTTAAAAAATATTTTAAATTTCAAAAATTATGTTCTACTCTAGTAAAAATAAAAGATATTTCTCAAAAACGTTTTTCATTTATAAATCAAACACTAAAAATCTTTTTCGGAAAATATTTTTTCTACTCACCAACCAAACATGAGAAAATAAGTCAAAAATTTACTTGTTTTTCAGAAAAACATTTTTCCTTCGTACCAACCACACCCTTCATGTGCTCAAGTTGGCCCTGGCCTATCATGTATCTTATCTTATAAAAGAACAATTTATAAGATACTACTTCCTCTGACATGTATTATAGAAAAAGTAGATAACACATGTATCTTCTTCTTTTTTTAATCTCAAGTTGGCTCTGTTTCTGAAGTGCTGCTGCTGGTGCTGTGGTGAATTGTTCTGTTTGATTTTGTAATTCTGTATTTGGTCCTTTCTTAGTTTCTGCAGCGCTGCTACTGGTGCTGGTGTCAGGGCGGAGTGATTGAGGGGAAGTTCTGGGGAGGAAGAGAATGAAGGTGCTCTGCTATAGCAACAAAAGTTTTTAAAATTTACATTTACATGTTCAACTGTATGTCTGTCATGAAAAATTGATAATGTAAGAAGCAGAAAAAAATGTTGCAGGTTTATGCGGGGTGGGGCAGGTGGGGGCAAAACAAAAGAATATGCTGGGATGGGCGGGGCGGGAAAAAGTCTTTGTGCATTTACACTGCATCCGCCCCACGCCACTCCATTTGTCATCTCTAGTGGCCCTTCTTTCCCTGAGAAATTTAATAGCAATATCATATATCCTGGAAGACACTAAAACATGTGATATGCTTCAAATTTGTTTCATTCTACTCTATGCAAAATTTGAAAATAAACTAAAGATGTTATTTGATCAAGATACATTCCTTATGATAAGGAAAAAAAAAAGATACATGTATTAGAAGTAGATAAAGCTGGAAACACCAAAAGAAAGATTGGATAATAATTGGGCTCAGTAGGAAATTATTCTATAAAATGTTGAAAATCATTGTCGAGGTGATTGATAAGGAGTGGCAACCAAAATAAGGTCATCTTTTCTGGCAGCAGTTACTCCAACCAATTCAGTCAAGTTCAAGTCTTTTGGCTCCATTCCGATAGGGAGTTTCCAGTCGAAGTGATATAACAATCGAGCCAACGGCAAATAAACATTAGCTAAGCCAAATGATATCCCGGGACAAATCCTTCTCCCACCACCAAAGGGAAGATACTCAAAATTGTTACCAACAAAGTCGACAGAGCACTGCTCAAATCTCTCTGGCTTAAAGCTTTCTGCATCATCCCAATATGTCGGATCTCTTCCCAATGCCCAAACATTAACCATGACTTTGGTCTTCACAGGAATAGTGTAACCGTTTATATCTGTCTCTTCCCTACATTCTCTTGGAACCAAAAGTGGAACCGGTGGATGGAGTCGTAGAGTTTCTTTAATGACTAACTTTAAGTATTTCAGGTCCTCTACATCATTTTCATCGAACGTTTCTTTGTCTTTAAAGGCTTCTCGCACTTCTGCTTGAGCTTTGGCAAATACACTTGGATTTTTCATCATTTGCATCATTGCCCAGACAAGTGTTGACGATGAAGTCTCTGTTCCCGCAGCAAACATGTCCTGCACATAGAAACATAATAAGTTATTTGTGGTGATTGATCTTATGTACAAACAAAAATGTAAAATATGCAATAGTACTTACGAAAATAATAGCTTTGATGTTGTCGTTGGTGATCGGAAATTGAAGGCCTCCATCATTCATAAGTCTTATAAGGACATCAATTAGATCTTCACCACCTAATGCACCATTAGTTTTCCCCATTGCAATGTTCTTCTTGTGCTCATTGATGACATCTTCAACAATTGCATCTACCTTGTCATGAGCATTCATAATTTTACCCTTCATTCCACTAAGCACATGAAGAAACTTCAGTGATGGAAAGATATCAGCCACATCAAATCCTCCTGCTAACCCTATCACTTCTTTGATTAGTTGTATAAATTTGTCCTGTTCTTTAAACACTTTCCCAAATGCTGATCTACATGTCATGGAACTTGTGAACAAAAACAACCTTTCAGTAAAATTAACCGGCTCATCCGAAGACGACCGGATAAAATTAACAAGACGATCAACTTCATCACGCCTAATCGAGCCATATGACCGGACATTCTTGGCACTCAACAATTCCAAGACACAAACTTTACGCATTTGTCTCCAATAATCTCCATAGGGGCAAAAGGCAATGTCAGACCTGTTGTAACAAACAATTTCCGGGGCCAAAAGTTTAGGCCTAGAGGCAAAAGCGATGTCATGAGTTTTTAGTACTTCTTTCGCCATATCAGGAGAAGTAACTACAACTGCAGAGACTTCACCAAGTTGAAGGTGCATAAGTGGTCCATATTTTTTGGCTAAATCTCTAAGGACATGGTGTGGAAGTCCACCAGCCATATGAAGCATACTTCCTAGTAAAGGAAGTTTCCATGGACCTGGAGGCAATTTTTTCGATTGGCTATTCGAGTTTTTCCATTTCCTTAACAAAAACAGAAAAGATAGAAAAAGGAAGATGGAAGCCAAGCTCAAGAATTGCATTTTGGAAGAGTTAATTTGTGTGTTTGGTGATTCTTCAATGTTCTGTTACATATGCTCTTTTATAAGCAAGAAATTAAATGGGATATTTTTTTCAGCAACTTTTGTTTACTATTATCTATTGAAGTCAAAACAATTCAGCTCATTCAAAATACATACTGACTGATGCTAAAATATGAAATATTATTTTCAACATACTAAGGTGGTGGCCGGAAAATTGTTTTTTTATAAAGAAGAGAAAAATGTGGAGTTGCCACCTTGGAATTAAATCTGTCCTACTTTGTAGCAATTTTGACTGGAGTATTATTATATTGGCTTAGGACACATGTAAGGTTCTTTACTAAGTTAAACTATTTATACACATTCTTTCTCACAAACCTCAAATATACTAGTGTATGTAGTATCTTTTTACTATTATACTAAAATACTAATCAAGTATTTCTCTCTCTGTGCCACATATCGGCACTGCAAAAAAAATAGTATTTTTTAATAATTAAAAATTAGTACTGTTTGTAATTTGTAATTTTTAATCATATTAAACTAGTTTATTTCATTTATATATAATAGAAGAGGTGATAGCTCCACATGTCAACATCGCAAAAAAAAAATTATTAATTAAAATTAATTATTTGTAATTTGTAATAATATTAAATTAGAAACTAAAATTAAATAATAATAATAATTTATTAAAAAATTACTTAAAATTAACATAATATAATCAATTTAAAAATTACAGATAAAGAGAAAATTTAAAATTTAAAAAATTGAAATGATCTGTCTTAAAATTAAAAAGTAAAAAAACTCAAGTTATTTATTTAAATAAAACGGGAATATAAATAGGCATTTTAAAAACATCTCATTACCTTCCCGCTCAATGCTCATACACAAACTCTAAAAATTAATTAAAATATTAATAAAATAAACTAATTTAAAACAATTGAAACTTCACAATAAAAAAAAACCGATTTTGTCCCACATTGGCATTTTTTTTAAAATCAGCAAATAGAAGTTTTACAAAAAATCTGTTTAATAATTAAAAAAAAAAAAAAAGGAACTACCAATTCAAATTTTAAAATCAAGCATAAAAATCTCCTGTCTTTTTTCACTCAAGGACAGTTTTATCGTTTAAGGACTTAATCTTATATTGTGTGTATCATTTTTCTTTATGGACAAAAAGGCAACATCGATCGTTTATCTTTTCTATAATAGTGATTAGTGGGTAAACTGAACCTTCAGCTTTCATTTCAAACATAATTGACAATAGATGTAGGCTCCACATAGATCGTTATCTTTTCTATAATACTATATTATGTAATTTCCTTAATTTATATTATTATATTTTCTTAATCTGTATATGTCACATCAATTGGGACAAAGGGAGTAACATTTATTATCTTAAAATTACATAAAATGTATTATAAATCACAATAATAACAACGTTAATATCTAAAACCTTATTAAATATTGATTGGCTGTTGAAATTCTATCTTCATACATAAATTGGGACAAAAAAAGTAACATATATTATCTAAAAATTACGTTAAAAAATACTATAAATCACAATTATTGTCAACTTAAATATCTAAAAACTTATAAAAAATTTGGCTGAGCCTTGAAATTGGGACAAAAGGAGTAACATATATTGTGTGAAAATTACGTAAAAAGTACTATAAATCAAAATAATTAACAACTTAAAAATATCTATAAATTTAACGATCCTTTCGTTCGTTACGGGTAGACCATTGAAGAAAGAAATTGGGTAAGAAAACTTTTAGATTAGTGGGTTTGAAAATTCTACGCTAGACCAATATCAAACGAACTATAAGCAAGGTAACGTCTAGGAAGATCTGGGAAAGTTCCGGGTGAAATATCTAAGCTTGAGTTGGTTTTTTATTAGCTAAGACATTAAGGAATCCATAGGACTTATAGAAATCAGTTTTGAGTGGGTAGAACTCCTGACATCAAACTTGGTATGAACGGTTTAGTTTAGAATGTCAAGGTTTGAAGGTGTGTTGCGAAATGGAGACTTTTGGGGAGTATTTCGAGTTTTCATCTCGTACAAGCTACTATGGGTGTCACACTGCTATAGCCGGGGAATTAATTTCTGCTATTGGTTGGTGATTTGCATTCTATCATAATTTTCCCCTAAATCGCTCATTATTCTACAAAACATATTTTGGGAAGAGAAAGAGTGACCTAGGGTGAATTTCAACCAATTCCCATCACTTTCATTGATAAAGATAAGTCAATTAGTCACATACCTAGGTATTTCGATTCTTTGGCTAGAATCCTTGTTGGGTGACTTTAGGGGAGGGTTTGGCTTGAGTTAATGGTGGAAGAATCATTGTTTGGTGACTTTAGGGGAGGATTTGGCTTAAGTTAATGGTGGAAAAATCCTAGTTGGGGTGGAGTGATTACGAGAATAGCATGAGATTAGAATTTGAGTATAATCCGGGTATTTTTACGCCATTATTCATTGATTGTGCTGTTTTGTTATTGTTTTAGACCAAGAACAACTCAAAATTCATAACAAAGGGAAGACTCAGTTCTATATAGCTTCCAAGGCTTGATGACATAAATGAGGGTTGTTTGTTTCTCGTTTATGTCATATGTGCTTGTCAACTGCTTCGCTATTGCATGCATGATATATGATTAGGAAAAAAGGAAAGAGCATGATTTGAAATTAATGTTAAATGTTGTCAATGGTTGTCCATGTTGTCTATGCATATCAACTCAGGGTGAGGACCGAAAGTTCGAGTTATGTTATAATTGTATGTTAATAACTTTATTAGTTATGGACTTGAATAGCCATTGTTGAACTTATGATGTTTCTTGGTGTGATCCTTGGGAAGGTAATTGTGGGTGATCAGAGTTTTATCAAAAAATATTAAGAAGGAATACCTTCAGGTGGATAATGATTGTTTAGTTTTCCAAATTTTGTATGTGTGCATATTAACTGCTTGTAGTATTACTGTGCAATGCATATGGGAAAAATATAAAGGATGAATGTGAAATGACATCATGCTGATAAATCTCATGTAATGAATTTGATTAATTTAGTTCTGGCTTCAAGTGTGATTGTTCATTGTGTTGTGCTTGTGTATGTTGTTTGTGATTGTTGATTGGATCGGATACAACACCAGTATAGGTTTACTAACAGTTGTCTTAGATACCACTTCTGGTACAAAATATCATTTAGTTGGCCCAGGCACTACGCTGGTACATTAACAATAGTTGGCTCGGGTACAACGTTGGTACACTAATAGTTGTATGCAGATTTCATGAGAGGACCGAGTTTATTTACTATGTTATCTTTTCCATATGTTGTTCCCTGAGTGTCTGGGTTGCTGTATTTAAAATGTTGGGATAGTCTTTATGTAGACCAAGTTTGCATGTTAAGTGTTCTAGATAAAAGACTAGGGATCCTTAGTGGCCTGGGTTACTGAAACGGTGTGATGAATCAGGTATGACTAGTTGTGATATGGTGATCATGTGAGACATGTTTTAGGCGAGTGTTAAGCTTGGGTAGGGTCTGGGAGTTCAGGCTATCTTATAAGTGGAATTAGAATTGTATTTACCTACTTTGCTAAATTGGGGTTGCTTATTCACATTTTGTATAATTGAAGTGTTGTTAAGGTCAAGGTTTTGGAATGGGAGCTAGAGTGGGACTAGTAGACTAGTTAGCAAAGTTAGTAATGATCTTGTATTTGGGAAATTTTTATGCGATAGAAAAGATTAGACTATGATTTGATATGAGAGTGGAATGGCCTAGATGGGGGGACTTGGCAGTGAAAGGAGGTGGGGTGACTTGAGATAGAGTGTATGGATTCCCAGGTAAATCTACTTAAAAGAAAGAGTGGTGACTTGGTGGATCGAGATCCTAATTTTATTTTCAAGTTACAAGTTTTCTTGATTATTTTATGATATTATATGGCGTATTCAGGTTGATCGATGATGCCTACTAGTCGTGTTGTTTGTACGGATACTACGCTTTCTATGTCACATGGCATAGTCTAGTTGCAAGATTCAATGATGTTTCTTAGACCATCTTCAACCCAACACCCAATTTTACACCAAATTTAGGATTTGGTGTAAAATTTGGTGTTTTGAGCTCCAACCCACACCAATTTTTACACCAAATTTAGTGTAACACTATTCATCACACCAATTCACTTTTTGAATATTTTAATATTATTTCATTATACAAACTTTTAATAAAGCATTATACGAAATGTATGTTTTAATTAATTCTCTTGTATATTTAATTATTTTTTATGTAATATTTTTATAATATTAATTTTAGATATAAAATTTAGCTTTTTTTATAAATTAATTTTTCTATATATGACTTTTTTTTAAAATTAAATTTATGTTAATTCTACTATAAATTATAATTGGATATAACTACAATTAACCTTCACAAAAATTTAAAATGCAAACATATAAATTTTAAACAAATAATACAATGTACTTAAAAATAACCAAAAATAATAAACATTCAACAAGTAGTAATTGACATACATCAAAATTGAAATATAAAATACATAGTTTTGCAATCTCGTTTTGCAATTATCGCAGGACCCTCACGTTTTTGGAGAAAAGAAGTGCTACATGATATATTAACTTCATGTATTATAATGCACAACATGATAATTGAGGATGAGCGTGAGCTTAATGCACTAATTCAAGATGCGTCGGGAGGTCCAACTCCGACCGTAGAAATGACAATAGATGAAAATTATCAATTTCAACAATTTCTAGCTCGATATAAAAAAAATAAAGGACAAAGAAGCTCATTTTGAATTACGTATTGCATTATAGAGTATTTATGGGAGTATCGTAGTGATCTTGAAAGTTGAATATTTATGTAGAATTTAAAATAATTTTTTTCAATTATGTAATGTTTATTTAATTGCATTTCATTAATGATTTCACTTTTATTTGTATTATCCATTATTATGTATAATGTATAATATTTGCTAGCAATTTATATTATTTAAAAAATTATGGTACAAAATAATTTTATATTAAACGATTATAAAAGAAAATAATATGAATTATATATGGTGAATGTTTTAAAAAGAATTTTTTTTATGAAATAAGAAAATATAAATGAAATAAGAAATAATAATATAATAATGAAGAGAGAGAAAAATATTCCTTTTTGGTGTAAAATTTGGTGCAGTGGGTCGGAGTTGATTACACCAAAAATAGTGTTGACACCAAATTTGGTGTTTGGGTTGGAGATGCCCTTAGGTGAAGATGGTGATGGTCTCTGACAACTTTCACTTCTCTTTCCTCAGAGTGGTAGTTATGTCTTATTTTCTTTCATAAATTGTACTTTTTAGAAGCTTTTGTGCTTGTTTAGACTAGTTCCTTGGGGGAGGGATCAATATATTTTCTTTACAAATGTATTTTGGTGTTGACAAATTGTGAGTATTTCTATATTTAAATAGGGTGATTAATTTACTGTTTTTCACTTTCATATTACATATTTTAAAGGGAAAAAGGACAAATATACCCCCGAACTTTCGAAAATGGTTTATCAATACCCTTCGTCATACTTTTCGTTCATCAATGCCCTTGTCGTCCAATAATCAGTACACATTTACCCCTCCCACTAACGGAGCATTAATTGTGTACACGTGTTGCAATCCTATGCCAAACCCGGTTGACCAATTTTTTTACCCAAATTTCAAAAACCCGCCCATAACCCAATTAACCCACCTGATTTACTCACAAATAAACTCTTTAAAATCCTGAAGAAAAATCCTAAAGTTTATTTATTTATGTTAAACTTTAGCCGTGTTTTAAAAAAAATATGATTATAATAAGAATTTTATTGTAATACTCCTATTAATTAATGTATTGTTTTTGTAAAACTTAATTTTTGAAATTATTTTTTCAACAACTTAACATACTAATCACTTTCCCTTAACAACGTGGGTCCCACATTTTTTATTATTGTTTTCTGTAATTCTTCTTCTCTAATTCTTTTGTTAATTTCTTGAAAATTCTTTTTCTAATGTTCCTCTGGTTCCTGCAATGAAGAAGGCATCAAAATCATCACCTCCACCACTCTCCTCCTCCACTGTTGCCGCCGCCGTCTTAGAGCAGCCTTTTCCTTCCCTTCCCACACCACCACCCCACCCAACCTACTCCTTATCTACATCATCTACAACACCTCCCCCTTCCCGAAACCCTTATCCTTTACTAACTCCTCCTCCCCCACCCAACTACCCGCCTCCTTTCTATTCGAATTACCATTTTAATTTCAGTCAGTCCAGTTATGGTACTAGATCTATAATCTATCAAAATCAGTACCCTCCTTATTATCATCCTCACAGTAATAACGGATGGGGTGGGTATCGACCTCCGCCGCTACCTCCACCGCCCGTTACCGACAATGCCGTATGTGGATTATCAAAATGCGAAGAAGATTAAAAATAATGTTAATGTTCATAAGGATATACTATCAGGGTCTTGATGAATTCAATAAGGATTTTCATTTTTCTTTAGGATTTTAGAGAGTTTATTTGTGGGTAAATCGGGTGGGTTAAATGGGTTATGGGTAGGTTTTGAAATTTGGGTTAAAAAATTGGTCAACTTTGGTTGTGATGTAGGATTGCGCCACGTGTACACAATAATTGCTCTGTTAGTGGGAGGGGTAAATGTGTACAGATTATTGGACGACAAGGGCTTTGATGAACGAAAAGTATGACGAAGGGTATTGACATACCATTTTTGAAAGTTCGGGGTATATTTGTCCTTTTTCCCTTTTTTAAATTGGAAGTAAGAATTCTTCTATTGAGGTGTTAGAAGTGGTGCACGCATGACCCGTGGGTTAGGTCGTGACAATTTGGTATCAGAGACCCAATTACTGGTCTCCCAATACAAGAGAAAATGTTGAATAGAGTCATGTAGATTAGTATGTTGACGTCCACATATAACCGTTGGAAAGCTATGAAACATTCTAGGAAGTTGTCTCATTTCTTCACTCTTTTCATGTGATCTATCACTTTTGGTATGGGTTGAGTCCAATTGGTACCTCCAGATTCATTTGGTGTCTCAACAAAGTAAACTAGATGTCGTCGTCGCGGATGAAGGGACACAGACAAAGAAGAATTTGAACTAGAAGGTTCCAATTAGTATCCGACCTTAAAGGTCATGTGAATTCATGGATGGTAAGTCAGTCCTCATCCATTACGTGAATATAATGGAATCAACCTGATTTAATTTAGTGTTAAAGCTTGATGATTGTTATTGTGTGTAGGGTATTGCCTAATTAAATGGAATTGTGTGAGATGTAATTGCCTGTATTTCTATGAGATTGTGGACGGTTGAAAGTTATAACTTGATTATGTCTAGTGGTTTAGTGATAAATTTCTATGTGATTAACTGAACGTTTTTGTGTTAAAATTTTTCCATGGACTTACATTGATAAAAGTGGTAAGGGGGAGGATAAATTATGACTATAGGAAAGCTCTGATTTCAAGATAGTCAGGATAGGTTCGAAACTATATGAGAAAAGATTATTCTGGTATGATAGTAGGAATGTGATGTGATGAACAAGTTATTATTATGCATTGTTGGGAATGATTCTGGGGATATTTTCAAGGCAATGTTGTGTTTTCAAATGTTGGAATTGTTAATCGATATTGGGGTATAAGGCACCCAGGATTTTTTTAAAAATTTCTAGTCTTTAGAGCCTTCATGGCAGGACTCATCCACAACAGCCCTCCTGTTGTGGTGGGAATTTTCCCACCATAGCGGCAGATGCTATAGCAGGAAAAAATTCATGCTCCATTTTCCCCTAGTTCGTCTTTCATTCCTAGGACATTTTAAGTCACTTGTTTTTAAGTCCATACCAATACGGAAATAGTATAAATTTAACAAAAACAACCATAGCATGCAAATATCCATAATTAAAAGATTAGAGCCAATATTTGTGTTCTCTAAAACAAGAAAGCAAGAAAAAGAAAAGATGCCTTTGTGCCCAAACATGGCAAGCCCAAAATAAGTTTTAACGTATCCAAAGGGGTGGATCCTAATCAGCATCCTCAAGATCCTCCGAGGCTTGCTCAGTAGTCCATGCCTTTGTACGAAGAGGGAATTCCATGAAATCCTCTTGTGTAAGTGTAGGGAGCTCTTTCTCATGGCGATGCATGTGAATATGACCTTCATGGTCATCCATATTCAAGCTATCAGACACTCCCGAACTGTGTTCTTCTTCCTCTCCTAAGCCAGTTGTCAGTGAAGCCTTTTACTCTCATGGGTAGTAGGGATTGAGGTTGCTGGTCTGGCTAGGAACTCCCACTTATCTCTAGATGGCGGTGAAGTCCTCATCCACATGGCTTATAGAGAGCTGGTGTTGGATCTGGGCGGTGGGGGTATCTGTCACGACCCGAGAGCATCCCCAAGTCGTAACATGCGTATTCGACCTCTCGGAGGTCTCATACAAGCCCTTAGCATTCATCACATTAGATATGTAAAATAGTGCGAAATTAAAAACTCTTTAAATAAAATCCCATAAGACTCAAAGGTCACTTTTAAAACATCATTCAAAAGTACACAAGCGGAATACTAAGTCTCTTAGACATAAACGTGAAAACATACTAGGGACACGGCCCTTTACAATCAAAAGAAGTCTATTAAGTCTATTACAAGAAACTTATCATAAAACTAGAATAGAAAAGTCTTGTCCTCGACATATGAGGACATACCACAAGATCTTGGAAGAACTTCAAGTTCCAAGCTTACTATAGAACCCGCTTACTTTCCGGAACATACACTTGTAGAAAATAGAGAAATATGGAATTAGCACAATTAAGTACTAAGTATGGAGACCATGCAAAAACATGCCAAAACGGACATTTACAAGGAATAAATGCTTTCATATTATTTTGATAAAACCTTCACTTCACAAGTATAAGAGACATAATACAAGTCAATGTTCACATATAAAACCATAGCCAACCATATACATACTCAACATATATTCATATACAACCCATGCTTAACTTTAAAAGAACACACGCCATTTCATTACCGTATGACCTCTACCTAATATAACCTTAAGACACACTTGAGTGAGACAAGAAGTGACCACCCATACAACCTCTTCAAGCACACTTAAGTGTTCCTCAAGATTACCTTAGATAAGGACATTTCATTTATAACATAACATCAATAGACCAACATTCTTTAAGAAACCATTTAGGAGACATTCAAGAACATAAGGGGACATTCACATAATAGTCGTTAGACTTAGGGAACTCACTTTAGTATTTTCAAAGCCTACTCGTGCCATGTGTAGATAGCATCCCATACTACCACCTACACTTTGTAGAACCTATCCAATAACTAGAGTGCACATCCCACATGATGGGAATAGGCATAACCGACATAGACCATACTAGCTAGGCATGGAATCCGGAGTCTATCCTACTCCGTGGAGGTTGTTCTACTTGCCAAAGGTAGAACTAGTAAGCAACCCATGTAGGCACATGGTTTAGGGGATGTCCAAGGAAGTTCATTGTGCCTAATCTCATACTTAACTAGGCCACCTTCCTAACCACATCCACTCGGTGCTAGCCTTGTTTCCCATAGAGTATTCAATCACATATGTACTTAGAGAGGGTTCCTTTTCTAGTTCAACCAACTCATAGTACCTCTTCCCAAGAAAGGCCCCATCTCTAAGTCATGGCCGATCAAGGTTCATAAGGATAGCTCATTTGACTTTCTTAGATAAGGATTTTCATGCCGTTCCGGCTCCATCCATCTCTAAGTCTATCATCTCACTCAAGAAGGGAACTTCACCCTAAGGCCCATCCTTCAAGGTTATACATTTACTTAGGAAAGCTAGACTTATGAAAAGGCACCATTTCTTAGTTCTGCCGATTCAAGTCTTGGCCTAGAATTCCTCTTTTAGCATTTATAGAAAGGGCACCATTTCTTAGTTCTAGCCCACTTCACACATTCATGCATTCAAGACTTTAAGTAACAAGGAGGGACACGTTAGTCTACCAACCAAGTCACAACATTTTCATTTAAGGATACTTCATAATCCAACATCTTTTCATATATACATCATGAGAAAAATCATACTTTAAATCACAATGCTATCCACTTTACATAGGATCATCACAAGATCACATAAACTCATTCACATCATACCTTCACACATATAGCTTCACATAAAACTTTACATATAGCTTCATATAGGACTTTACATATAGCCTCATTCATATATAATAATATAACAATACAATAACACTCATATTATGCCCTTCATGGCCTCAATTCACAATAATACAATATTCCAACATTATGCAACAACTTCCCCAATGCCTGCATGGCTACAATTCACAATAATACCACACAAGAACAAGATATAACACTTCTACCAAAGGTGGATTCAACCTACCAACAACAATCGTCACATATGGACATTTAAAGAGAACATACTTTCAATTACCCTACAATAACACTTTGTATAAGATCACCTTATAACCATAAGAATACCTTCACATATTTACCTTCACATAGTACTATAACACTTCATAACTTGATAACACTTTAATTCAATAGATAATGCCTACAAGGCCATATTCATAATACAATCCATAATTAAACACCTCCACTATAAGTGGATCAAACCAAGGAAGAACAATTATATCAATAATATGAGATTAAACCAACTTACCATCCTCCAAAGCCATCCTCAACATTAATCAATAGATATAGAAAATCATAAACATCAACAATACAATCTATTCTAAGCATAAATTCATCAATACCCAATCATTATCAACAAACCCATTTCGTAAGTCAAATATAGAAATTTGTGAAATCAAGGGTTCATGAGATTTTTCACTCAAAAACATCAATTTAATATCAACAATATCACAATCCATCATTTAAAACCATTTAATGCAAGAACCCTTGAGTAGAGTAACAAATAGAAGTTTTTCATAACTTTTGAGAATTTGAAAACCCTTTGAAATTGGTTCTAAAGCGAAAACTAGCTTTAGATAAAGAGCCACCATACCTTAGTATTGAGAAAACCCACGAAAATTTGATGCAAGAAACCTTCAATTCGAAACCCTAGCTCCAACTTGACCTTTGCCTTCAATGGTGTTCTAGAGAGAACCCTTTTTTTTTGAAGAATGAATTAAAACAAACCTTTTTAAAAAGTTTTAATACCATATATAGAAATTAGAAATAATATAAAATATACCCACTTTTTAATTTAACTAAAATTAATATTTACGAAAACGCCCCTTGCCTACATGGACCTACCAAATAAAACTAAGGCAAAGTCCAATTTTTATTTTGGAAAATTTCATAACTCCAATTTATGCTTAAACTTTAAAAATTCATACGTTAGGCTCTAGTTTCACCTATCTATTTTTAGGGTCGCTACAGTATCATCACCATCATCT